CCTTTATGTATTAATGTTTACAACGGACATTCTATTCACACACAACTGTGCAATAAAAATCGCTGGTACAAGCCATTAGATTGTATATGAAATTTGAGAATAAGAAGTTTTTTTTTCACTATTTGTGTGTTCTATACCGAGCCTTCGAGAGTGTGAAATATTTATACCGTTAAACTGCGTCGCATATCAAAGCGAAACAAAATTCTGTTACTAAAACAAGGCAGAACAGTAGCTAGTTATCAGCACAAAATGAAACTTACACATTTTGTATAGTAAAAAGTCAATGTTCTTTATTCCTTTGGTAACGAAATATTGTCTCGCTTTGATATGCAACCGTTTTGAGTCGCGTTTCGATATGCGAGTAAACAATAAGTTGTTTTTATTCTAGAGCGTTCATTTATTTTTCAATGAAACAGAAAGGGAAAGCATTTTTGAAAAGAAAGTCGAGAGATATGATCGATTAAATTCGACTCGTCTGAAACAAATGATTTTTCGTTCAATATAAAAGTTTTCATCTCATTGATAACATACATCTGATAAAATATGTACTTCAGACGTCGTTACACATTCCGCAATACAAAAACTTATAGACCATTTGTACCTTTTGTACAATGTATATTTTAAAAAGAAACAAAAAACACGCGTGATCTGTTTCCCTTGAATGAAAATTTACATTTAAATGAATCAACACATTATCGTTTATTAGCTATGTATTCAGTGCAATAATTTCTTCGATTTTTCATTGAGGTGACTCAAACTTAAAAAATCGTTTGTAAATATTAAATAGAAAAAATAGAAAAACAATAGTTACAGAATAGTTACAGAATAGTTACAGACTACCGAAATGTGAGCATAGACTTTTATTAATCCAAATGATTACGCTCGAAGAAAGGTGCAAAATTGCGCAAGTTTCATTCATTTTCAAAATCATTCACGGTGAGTCACCGTCGGTGACATCAAATCAATACACATATCGAACAGTCTGTCTTATCATGCACCAGTTTATGATATTCACTACCAATTAGGAGGCATGATTTTACTTAATATGAGCCCATTAATTATATGCTCATCACATTTAATGCTCTTTATAGCATGAAATGCAAAAATAGTGATACAAATATTATTGATCTTGAGATTAGTTTTGACATTGTTGAACAATTGAAACTTTTTTTAAAAACAAAACAGATAATTTCATCTCTCTCCAAAGCAATATTCAAAATAAGAATTTATATTAACATTTATTAATTTATTTAAAATAAACCACCGGTGCAGTCATTATTATAATTATTAAGATACGAAAGCACTACAAGAGGATATCGAACAGCTGAAAACCTATTGAAAGAACCCGTTTGATTTTAAACAAAGAAAAATGTATCACAATGTCTATTCATTGAAAGTAAGACCCCAATTAAAAAAAAAAAGTATATTTTTAAGAAATAAAATCGTGTTTAGTTTTTCTTTATTCAGTCGATAAATTGACATTTTGATGAAAAAAATAATTAATTAACAATTGATTTCATTGTGTACGTAATTGGCAGCCAATGTTTTGACTTTTGAAATTGTTTCGTCATTGCCGTACTTTTGCTCGAATTCCAAATATTTCTTGAACAGCGTACGCATTTTCTTCATTGGAATTTTATGAGTTACAGCTCGTTCCAATGTTTGTCTAAAAAAAATTGATAAAATGAATAGAAGTTAAATTTTTTTTTTAATGGAACGACAGATGAATTCGAAAATTCATTTATTTTATACCTTGCAATATCGATATCGTTGGCTTTAATTAAGATATCGATATATTGTGACCAACAATCCACTCGCTTCGGATACGAAACTAAAATTTGCTCGAACAAAGCATGTGCATGGTCCTTCTGGTCAAACCTATTACACATAATGGCAAATCGACTAATAGTACTTATATCTGTGGAAAATAAGGGAAAATCCAATAACGTTATATCCATATAAATGTGCTGGAAAAAAACTTACGATCTCGTTCAGGCAAAGAATTCGAAGCTCTATTCAACAGAGCCTTGGCCTTATCATTCATATTGACTTCAAAAAGTGCATGGGCAGCGTTCAACCAGGCATCAGAATTTTGGCGAAATTTTTTTGTTATTGTTAGCACCATGTCACAGAGCTCTTGGATTCGTTTGCAATCGGCAAAAATTTTCAAACACACCGAATATACTTTGAATGGCTCGTTAACTAATAGTGCTTCTTTTAAAACTTCGTCGAATGCGTCTTTGCTCCCGAATCGAAGTTCCATATTGAGTAATGCGATCCACATATTCAAACGTTCTTGTTGTTCGCGAACGTCAATAGTTTTTAGAGCTTTTTTCCCAATAGCACGGGCTCTATCAATTTCAGTTGCTTGAACATGAAAAACCATGTAATTTATCCAGGCTCGACTATTACTTGGCTCCGCCATTACAAGTCGATCGAATTGATCGATGCTTGTTGGTAAAATTGAATCATCAGCTAAACTTTTCTCTATTTCTCGTATACGAGCCTCTTCCAAACGTGCAGCAGCAAAGCGCTCTTTTGACGATAACTTTCGTTTTTTTGGTGAATCGGTTTCATCTTCACTTGAACTCTCTGAATCTTCAGAATGTCCATCATTCACATTCAAATCGGTTGACCAAAAATTTGAAACACCAGGCAACTTCTTATCTTCCTCGTCATCTTCGCTAGAACTATCGGCTAAATCCATTGCACCATCGATTTGAGAAAGTTTCATTGAAAATCGCTTTCCAGATGGAGTTTTTGAAGATGGTGACTTTTTTAAGGTTGAATTTAAGACGGCTTTTTTTGTTGATTTTTTTTGCGGAGTTTCGTGGCCTAGTTTCTTTTTCTTGCTTGGAATTGGATCAGTATTTTTACTTACTGACATAATCTTTGTGGCTGCAAATTTGTTTATTTTCTTCTTTTTTGATGGTGTTCCTGTTTCATCATCATTTTTCTCCCCCAACTCAACTGACTGGCTATTCTTGTCTACTTGTAAAATATCTGTCTTTCGTTTTTTGCCTTTTTTATTCGATCCACTTTGAATAATCGTTGTGCTTGAATCGTCTGCATCGCTTTCTTCTTTTATTTCAACAATAATATTGCCAATGTCTTCTTTATCTAATTTTTTCTGGTTTTTCTTTTCCTTCTTTTTGGTTGCATTCGAATCATTTTCCTCGTCTTTCACTTCCAATTTTATAAATTCCAACTTTTGATCAATTTTCCTGTTGTAGAGCTCATACAAGCCATGGAACATACCTAGAGTGAAAGGAATATGAGATTTTTATGAAAATATATGTAAAATTTAAGAAGATGGCTCGAAAAATTTTATATGGAACATACCAATAAAGTGATCTCCTTTAACATCGATAACTGACACATTCACCTGGGAACCTTCATTAATTCCTTTTGTAATTACTGGCTGAAAGTCATTGTAATGAACTCGATTCGGAATATAGACAAATCGGTTTGTCCACTTTGTTGGATACACAATAATAATATCTTCCAAAATCAATAGCACATTTGCCTTGAAACCATGATGTGTCAAAAGTTGTTGCACTGCATTTTCTTCCATTTGCTTAGTTTCTGCACGCTCGATATATTTTGGTTGTACAGTTCCATACAATATTTTATTCGAATAATCAATCCAAACGATGAGAATTTTGTGTTTCTGATCCTTCTTTTTTGTTGCATCATTACTTTTCGTGACATAGACTTTAACATTTCCGTCTAGCAAAAATGTGCGTAATGGACAATTATTACCATCAGTTCGATCAGACTCAGTGGGTACACCTTCAACTATTTGACCAATTCGATAAGATTTTATTGGATCCTTTGATTTAATTCGTTTATCTATCTCCTCAATGTCATTGAAGTATCGTCGAACCATTTGTACGGTATGCTTGAAACTTCCCGGCCAAACGTCATCCAATCGAGCACTGCATGTTAGAGTTTTTAGTAAACTATTTTTTGCCAAAATTCGTACATAAATCTTCTGATCTGGCAATAGTGTAACATCGCCGCATTTTCCATAGTTTTCAACAAACATGTTTAAATGAATTGACACCCTTATTGAATGAAGACCCTTAATTAAGCATTGTACATCGATCAATTCATTTGAAACATTTTTAATCATGGCTGGTATGACGTCACCAATTTTGATTTCTGAAAATTTTTTCACAACATTCGATTCACCAGAAATATCCTTAACATCTCGAATTGAATAACAATTCGGTGCAACACCGATGGCTTCAACATCATCATTACATTGATAGGCACGATGCAATGCATGTACTAAACTTGGAAAATCTGACAAGTACATAATTGGTATGAATCCATTAAGGTTCTCTTTCAAAAAAGCAACATCGATTCCGGTTGGTTGAATTGCGCTAATTTTACCGCTATGAACACCTCCAATGTCGGTTAGAAAATCGGCCAATCCAAGAGTGATATACCTTTTATCGTCTTCATCGTTTCGTATGTGTTTGATATTGACCTTAATTATTTGTCCAACATAAAACTTCTCTGCCGTACTCAATTCGTTTGCGGTCAACTGGCTTCGATAAATCATTCCGGTTAAATAGTCAAAGAATTCAATCAGCCAACCATCAGAAATACACCGTTTCACTACTCCAACAAATACCGAATCTCGCGATAAATTTGTATTTGCCGTTATAATTGAAGCTTTTTCATCCATATAATCCTTAAGATTTGTTACGAAAATTTCTTGCTTCGCCGAATTTTTACACAACACTCGACACTTCAATTTACGATTCGGTTGTAGTTTTTCCATTGGTGTAGATTTTGATAAATACAATGGATGAATGTAGCCTTTGATTTGACCCACTGTTATCGCGTATCGACCATCACCCAATTTTCTTTGTATAGTTGCATTGATAATATCTCCTGTTTTTACATCGTTACATGAGAAGTATTTTTCACCAATAATTTTTGCATCAACTGAACACACATGAAGTAAATCAATTGGATCATAATGAATCACACGTACTTTGTGCTCTGAATTAGCTTGGTATTTCGAAAACAGCGTTTCTGAGTCAAAATTTGCTTTCATGTCGCCTTTTAGCGAACGAAGACTGATAATACCTGTGGATGAATCAGATAGAATAGAATGGAATTTAATCAATAAGTAATGTAATTTTCAACTGATGGTACCTTTTGCATTCGGTAATTTCAAAATAATTCCGCCGGTTCCTATGTGTGAAACTATCGCCTTTTCAACGATTGTACCAATCGGTAATATATTTTTTTCGTTGGCATTGAGTTCAAATTTGCTTTGTAGATTTAACGATAAATATACGATTTTTGTTAATGGCATAACATATAAAACTCGTGCCGTTAATTTTGAGTTGACTTCAAAATGTTTCGGTTCTTTTGGAATGTGCTTACTCGAAACACCCAATTGATGCTCATTGATATACGCCACTAAACTATTTTCAAATATTGTGCCTTGGAGACCATCTTTCAATACTTTTGTGACATTGAATTTCACGAGAATTCCGGGAAGAATATGATTAACGTTTGGTTCTTTGAATTGTGCGACAGAATTTTTCGAATAATCAACCAATTCAAATGTTGCCGTACTTGCGGTTTGTGCATTGGTAATCTTTTTTACTCGACAAAAATAAACACCTCCAACAATTAGATCGCCTTTTGTTTCTGGCAAAAATCCTCGTAAATTTGTAACGCCAGTTTCCAAAACAAAACCATGTTCTTGACGCTCAGCTATTGCTGCAAATACCATCATATTTGTTGAAATAGTTTGATGTTGAAAATCAGCTTGAATGTCTTTAGGCAACATGCTTAATTCTATCTGAACTTTAAATGTTTTGCTGGTATCTAATTTCATCACTTTCACACAAACAACCTGACCAATTTGGAAAAGACTGGTCAACGGTTTATATTCATCCTCACTGTTGGACTTGGTATCGTCGCCCTCATTCTCGATGTATTTTTGAGTAAGTTCCAAATAGGTTTGTGAAATGGCAGAAACATTAACGGTTCCATTCATGCGACCCGGCAGAGCAACCTCTATTGATGTTGGATTTATGGTTTTCACACAGCCCAAAATAATCATACCTGGGGTTGAATAATAAAGAAAAGAATGGAAGTGATGGAATAATTCATCAATAATTAATGGAAATAAAGTGCAATGATCATACCCTCTCGAACTGTTTTGAATGATAGTAATTCAGCGGAAACTGCTTCGATGGATTTTGGTTTATTTTTCACTTCATTCTGTTTCTCCAATCGCGCTGCTTCACGTTGTTTCTTATTCGGTTTATCTTTGCGTGGTTTTGGTTTTGTTACCGCACCAAAGCTCTATTTTTCCAAATGAAAGAAGTTTGGGTTATTTTTTCTCAGAATATTTCCAACCACTCATAACAATTTTTTATTTCATTATTACTTACCAATGTTGTTTCTTTCGGCTTTTTTTGTACGACACCACCACGGGGAAAACTAGTTTCGGTAATAACCATGATGCCAGTGAAAAAAAAATATATTTTCAATTTTTATGCGGTAAATATATTCAATCGCGTGCTACACAATATTTATACTAATACAGTGTCCACATGGTTTTGGCATTATCATTTGACATTTGTTTTTAATAAATTCTCTTGACTGCTAACAGCGCCATTTTTATACGAATATTTGCATGGTAATATGAAAAAAGTCATTATAGCACACGCGCTTTTTTGACATAAAAAAACAATGTGTTTTTGACCGGTTGTTTCAATAGGCAAACATAAAAAAGTTGTGACAATTTTCAATATAATTGTTTATTAATTTGTTTTAAATTTCAAAATGTCAAGTAGTGAAGGTAACAGTTGTTTATTCAATATAAAATATTTTCAAAAAATATAAAGTAGTTAATTTTGATCTATAGTTTTGGAAGAAAACGTAGTTGAACATCACATCGATAGTGACGACGAACTAGACGATGAAGATGATTGGAATGAGGATGAAGTGGATCAAGAGCCGACAAAATGCTTATTTTGTGACACAATTGACGAATCCATTGAAAAGGCCATTGAACATTTGGAGCATCAACATCATATCACCTTGAGTTATCTCAAACAAAAATTCAACTTGGATCAATATTCGTATATTAAGGTAACAAACTCCATATTTATTGAGAATGAATTTATTTCAAATTAATTTAACAATATTTTCAGATGATAAATTATATCAAAAAACATAATATAACAGCCGAGAGCCTGATTAAAATCAATCAAGTACTTTGGAATGACGATGAATATATGAAACCGGTTGAAGTAGATCCATGGTTAATGTTTGGTACGTACTTCATCATTTTGCAAATGTTCATGTATTTTAAGGAACGATGATTTCAGATATTGAAGAACTGGAAAAAAGTCATTCTGATTCAAATAAAATTAGCGATGCACACAAAATCGAATCGCTGGAGCGACAACTTAAAGAAAAGGATGTGCACATAGAGCACTTAGTTGATCAAATCAGCGAAATGAAAAAATGCTTTGAAGCATGGATTGAGCGTTGTTCAGAAACCAATGGATCTAAATCAGACTTTTCACAGCTCACTCATGATTTGCCGGAAAATACAGAACAAACACATGTAGCGAAAATTCCAATAAAAGTCGATGAATCGTATTTTATGACATATGCTCATTATGGTATTCATTATGAGATGCTTAGCGTAAGTGCACACTGTACAGTTTAATGATCTGTCAAGTTCGAATGTAATAGATTTTGAAAACAATTTAAATCGAAACAGGATACCGTTCGCACTAATAGCTATCGTGAGGCAATTTTGAAAAATCGTGATTTGTTTGAAAATAAAATGGTACTTGATTTGGGTTGTGGGACCTCTATACTATCCATGTTTTCATCACAGGTGAATTTATCGTTTAAAAATCATATTTTTTATTGACATAGATATTTATTAGTAATTGTATTCTTCAAAATAATTCTGTTGTAGGCAGGAGCTAAGAAGATTATCGCAGTCGATCAATCTGAAATTATATACCACGCGATTGATATTGCACGGAAAAATAAAATTACAAATATTGAATTTGTAAAAGGTCGGCTAGAAAATATGGATCTACCTCTGGCCAAAGGTGAAAAGGTTGATATTTTAGTGTCCGAGTGGATGGGTTATTTATTACATTTCGAATGTATGCTTGATTCTGTAATTTACGCACGCGATAATTATTTAAAACCTGGTGGATTATTGCTTCCGAATAGATGTACCATTAATCTCGTAGCGTTTGGAGATGTGGAGCGGCATAACGAGTATATTGGATTTTGGAAAAATGTCTACGGTTTTGATATGGGAGTTTTACAATCCAAGGTTCTTAGAGAAGCCATCGTGGAAACCTGTAGAAAAGAATATATTCTAAGCGATCCAGTTATTTTATCCGATTTAAACATGAACGAAGTTGATTACACGTATCCCAACTTTAATTATGATTTTAAATTGAAAATAGAAAAAAGCGGAAAATTCACAGCATTCGTTGGCTATTTTGATACCTTCTTTGATCTACCACAAGGTGTAAACTTTTCGACTGGGCCACACTGTAAGCCGACACACTGGAAACAGGTTGTATTTTACATGAAAAATCCAGTTTCGGTTAATGAAGGAGACATCATTTCTGGCCAATTTCAATGCAGTCGAGGAAAAACAGATGCACGAGCTCTTTGCGTCAAAATTATTGCATTTGATCAAGAACTTTTATTCAGTTTGTCCTAATAACTTTTGAAATTGTATTTAAAAAAATCGTCACATTAAAGAATTCTTTACATTTACCAGAATGTATACATTTATTGTTTGGAAAATAAATAAAAATTCTTTATACGATTATTATCTTGGCAAGAGGTTTGTTCTCTGCACTCGAGCAGATGTGAACATAGGCTGTACTTTTTTTATAAGAATCATTTTCAAGCTACCTCCCAAATAAACGTTGGAAGATATAATCATTACGAATAGCAGCGCCACTGTGACATTTGGGAATGTAAATATATATATAACATATACAATAGTAGTCGAACGTGAAACAACGCACAAGTTTTCATTCTGAAAGAAAATAAAAGATTTAAAATTTTTACCAAGTGCATTTTTAATACATAACCAAGAAGAAAAAAATCTATAGAAATTAATATTAATTGTGTTTGTCTGCGTATTTACCTAAATTATATTTTGTAAAAGAAAAGTTAAAAAATGTTTCGTAATATATTTTTTGTTTTGAAGTGAATGAAATTTAAGGAAACATGAAATACGACTAAGAATTCATATTATTTTTATGTTTGTAAAAAATATTTTCCAGTTCATTGAATTATTTCAAAGAGGTTTGTTTGTTTTTTTTTAATCATTTGCAATAGACTAGAATTCCTTAGAAGAATATACATATTATGAAGACAAATAAAATGACCACTTAAAAAATCTTATCAAATATATATTATTCAAAAAAATGTATCGCAATTCGGTGACTGGAGAGTATATTGGTGAGATCAAAATATACGATATTTTCCCAAATGAAACTTAATATTCGTTTCATTTAATTTGCGTGTATGACATGATTTAAGATAAAATTCCCAACGATAATTCATTATAGGTGATGCATATATATATTATCTGTCTATTGGTGAGAAAAATTATAAATAAACATACGGAACGATGTAAATGTTTGTGAATGAATACCCTTCTGTATACTTACAAGTTAACACATAGTGAAGACAGGATTTTTGTTGGAGACATGTGCACTTGAAAATAATAGAAAAAATGTCTTATGCTTATGTAAATTCATAACAATTTCTACACAGAAAGATTTGATCTCAGCTTATTTCGTTTTCGAATCCATGTTTTGAAGTACCAAACTTTAAACATCGAAATATTTTCGTTTTTGGTATAATATTAATATCTTTCCAAAAAAAGAAACTATCATATCTATAAGAAAACATTCCATTTAAAATTATTAAACCAAATTAAAATCTTTTTCGGCGGAAAAGTGTTCAAAAAATGCTTACTTTTCGACCAAATTCATCAATTGTTGAATGAATTATTAATTTATGCGTTGATTATTAAATATTCAGTCGGATATAAAGTCAAACTTTGATTTGTCTTGTAATTGGTGATTTTAATTTTTCATTGATTAGTTATTCTAGTTTAAACAATTTTATTAAAGTGATTTTTTACGTCAACATTTGCAGCTTAGCCCGTATTGAACATTTATTCGAAATGTCGTTTGATGAACAAAAACAAAGAGGACGCGGTTGGCATGGTTCATTCTATGATAAAGAACGCCCGGGCACTTCATCTGGTAAATTTGAATATGAAATATAAACTCCATTGAAATGTCCGTTTAGTTCATTTTCGAAAAAATATGTATATATCACACAAATAGGAAAGAGACTGCGTGAGGAAAGCAACGGTCGAGACTCTAAACGACATGCACCAGAAAATAAACGTAAATCTATTTTATCTAAACTCTCAAAGAAGATAAAAATTACAACAAAGCGATAAATATTTATAGGTTTTCCAAATCGTCGAAGTGCGTTGCAAATGATAGTTCACACAAAACCCCATAACGGAGCTACGAGCCATGATCCAAGTGCAATTAGAGGTGAACGTGTAGTATTAGAGGCAAATTATTTTGCACTTCAATCGCGAATGAATAATTTCGAATGGAAGATTTATAAATATCACGTTTCATTTGAACCGGAATGCGATTTGAAACGTTTACAATATTTTTTGATGGCACAACATAGAACTGAAATTGGTGGATATCTTTTTGATGGTAGTCAACTATTTTCAATACGGAAATTACACGGAGAAAACAACATGGTCGTGTTTACGTCAACAACACGTGATGATAAAGTTTATTCCATTAAATTTGTATTTACTCGGATCGTATCAATGACCGATCAAGAGTCTCTCCAAGTCTTGAATTTGATTCAACGCCGTAATATGAGTGGATTAAGACTGCAAGTGGTCGGGCGAAATTATTATGATCCACAAAACATGGTAATTTTTCGAATCCACCAATAACACTGTCTCAACAGTCGGAAGACCGGTTGCTAGTATATTTTATATTAATTTGTTAAATGCTCTTTTTAGATTGATTTAAACCGTTTTAATATACAATTATGGCCTGGATACGAAACATCGATTCGTTATCACGACACGGGCATTTTACTTAATTGTGACATTGCACATAAAGTAATGAGAACAGATACTGTATATGATTTAATGAGAGACATACAGAAAAATAATCCGCAAAACTTTGAAAATGCATTCAAAAGTAAAGTACTTGGAATGACGGTTCTCACTGGCTATAATGATAAAACATATCAAATCCATGATATTGATTTTAGCAAGACTCCTTCAACTACGTTTTCAAGAAAGAACAAGGATATATCAATCAAAGAATATTATGCTGAGGTTTGATTCAGAACTACATACAAATATACCAACGATATGTATGATTGTTTAATTTTTCGATTTTTTTAGAGGTATCAAATTGGAATAAGAGATGCTTCACAACCGCTATTGATATCTCAACCGAGAGCAAAAGATTTACGTGGCGGTGAAAAGAAACCAGCATGGCTTGTACCAGAGCTCTGTAGAATTACCGGTTTGGACGAGAGACAACGGAATGATATGAAGTAAGTGATCGTCTTTTCTTCAGCTAAATATTTCTCTAGTTCATTTTAAATATTCTTTTTGTAAAATTCCAGTTTAAAGATGGCACTTAAACCGTATTCACAAATGCAACCCCATGTTAGACGTCAACGTCTTTTAGATTTTAATCATCGCATTCAAAGCAGCGATGAAAATGTTCGAATCAAAGAAGAATGGGGTCTTGAGGTACAGCGTGAGCTCGTAAAAATCAATGCTTACTGCATTGGTCGTGAAACAATAGAATTTGCAGGGGGGCAAAAACTACCGTAATGATTAAATCGACTTTAGCAAAACCATAAGCAGAAAAATGCATAACATTGATACTTTTTCGATTTAGTGTTGAACGAGCGAGTTGGGAAAGAGATTGTGGCAGAGAGCGCTATAAAATTTACAAATCAAAAGAACTAAGAAGATGGTTGGTAGTTTGCCCAATGTCTATGGAGCGCGAAATGAGGCAATTTGTACAAAAGTTACAACAATTTGCTGGTAATTTCAATTCTTGCATCAATTCATTGGGTTCTGATTTTTTTAATATTCAAATATTTCTTATAGATAAAATGGACTTCCATGTCACTGAACCACGGTGGTAAGTAAATATTGATATCTTTGGTTAGAATTCAATGGACATTATTACTTTTCGTATTAATTATTTTGCATTTATTATCATTCTTAGGAAATTGTTTGACTCAGATATACAAATGATTCACGAAATCGACGGATTGGCAAGCTTAAATCCAAACATGATATTATTCGGCACTACTACAAATAGTCGAAAAAATTCTGATTTGTAAGTATCATCGTATAGTTCCGCCGCATGGAATAATTCAATAATAATTAATAATAATTTTGCAGATACTCATCAATAAAGAAGAAATGCTATGCTGATTACGCTATTCCATCTCAGGTTATAACAAGACATATTCTGAATAGTCAAAAAAATAAATATGATTCGGTTGTCACTAAAGTTGCTGTTCAAATGTAAGAATTTTTCGGCCAATTTTTTTTAAAACTTTTATTCAATATTTATTCATTTATTTTTTAGTTGCACAAAATTGGGCGGGGCGCCATGGTTCGCTCGCTGCCCGTTAAAAAATACTATGACAATTGGCTTTGATATAGCTAAAGACTCAAGTAACCGAAATGTTACTTATGGTTGTTTGGTGGCCACAATGGATCTCAGAGAAGATGTGAATTTCTTCAGTGTGGTCAGTAAAATCGAGGGAATGGACTGCAGTCGAGACTTGGTGATAAATGTCATCAAAGCATTAAATGCTTATGAAGAAAAACATAATAGATTACCTACTACTATATTTTTCTATCGTGGTGGTGTCAGTGACGGAGAATTGCAGTATGTTCGTGATGTTGAATTAGATCACCTAACAACCACTCTTAAAGAAAGATATAAAAGGCATGAGATGGAATTTAAAATGGCATACATCATTGTAACCAAGAAAATGAATACACGATTTTTCCAAAGATTTGGTAATGATGTTAGAAACCCAGATCCGGGAACGGTTATCGACAATACCGTTACTCTCAAGGAAAGATATGAATTTTTCCTGGTTTCGCAAGTATGTAATCAAGGAACTGTATCACCAACTAATTATAATATTATTTATGACTCGACAAACCAACCGCCAGAAAGGGTTCAAGCATGGACTTACATTCAAGCACATTTGTATTATAATTGGTACGTGTTGTTTCCCATCTATTGGAATTACTATATTTGGCTAATGGCTATATAATTGATTTTTTCGTGGTAATTTCAGGTACGGTACTACTCGAATTCCAGCTGTTCTTCAATATGCAAATAAACTGGGCTTTCTGGTATCCAACTATATACATCGAGTACCTAATTACTTACTTTGTGACAAACTATTCTTTTTATAAATGGAATTTTATGTTGATTTAATTCATTTATGTTAGAGGAAAGAAACAGCAACTGTCTCGCTGTTTACAATTTTTATTTTCATTATGTTTACATTAGGTACATGTTTTTAATGTCAAAACATATTGTAAAATATGTGTTTGATGTAGCATGCTCGATTGATATTTGCAAATATTTTTCAACCCGTTTATGTTCATTAAACTGACTGGTGAGTTTTTTCTATTACATGTTCACTAAACGTAGAAGTATATCATTGTTCAAATGAATTTAAAAATACTTCCACTAGTGCCGACATTATCTCCCAGGAAGCACAGCTGTTCTTATCATGTTCTTATAGAATAACGTATTCTTATCCAGTTCTTATATATATTAATATATTCTTGCTATTCTTACAATGTTAAAATGCAAATATTATTTAAGAACTAAGACGCTATTCTTTGCAAGTTCTTAACATATTCTTGTTCTAGTTTAGCGCGCACTAAGAAATAAGAAAAAATAGATTTTGAAATTTTAATATTTTTCAACGAAATTAAAATCAATCTATACTAAAATCAATTGAACTAACCTTAAAATATTATAATTTGCAAATTTAAGCAGCAATGTATCGATATTTACAAACATGATAATTTTCTAATTTTCTAATTTTTCTGATATTTTCCAATTTTCCGAAGGCATGATTTTTTAAGAGCTATCACATCTACATTTGACGGTAAAATGGTTTTCGTTTCAAAATTTGGCCTGGAAATATGTTCGAATTCATGATTTTAATCTCATATTTATTCCTTGCCATGTTTCTTGATTGTATTGTAACTTATCACACGTCAAATTTGCAAAAAAAAATATTACTTTTCCGCACACACCTAGTATTGGAATCGGTCGAAAAATTAACACCCTCAAAAAACATGTTTTCTGGGTGTTTTAGGAGCCAGGGAACACGAATCTAGCGATGTCCGAATGTATGTGCGTGGTACCCTGTACGCTGTACGCAAAAATTTGTTAACACGATAACTTTCAAACAAGAAAAGTAATTCAAAATCTGACTTCACAGGATGATTGGGGGTACCGAGGAATAGAAACCATTAGATTTTGAGCGACTTTGGTTGATAGAGTGACGTGTCATGTCTGGTGTGATGCCCATGGCCATGGCCATCCATGGGAAAAATTCAATTTTTCTTCCAAAAGTGATATTTAATGTATTCTTAAACACTCAAAAATGTGTATTGGGGGCCTCCCAACGGAAGGTTTTTGGGTACGAGAAAACCGAATATGACGTTAGTTTTGCAATACAAATAATTTTCGACACACTTTTCATACAAAAATTTCACAGGTTATTTTTTTCACTCAAAAATAACATTCCGAGAGTTTGAAGAGATTTGAAGGAATAATAGGGGTACCTCCCGTACAAAATTTTGGATTTTTTGCTCAAAAACGAAAATTTTGTATGGAAGTGGTACCAATTGTATTGAAATTTCTTCAAACTTTCAGAATGTTAGCTTTTTGTGAAAAATTAACTTCTGCAAATTCTCACATGATTACGATATCATACAGGCATTGAAAAGTCTATCAAAAATTATTTGTATCGCAAAACTTATATAAGATTCAGGTTTCTCATGAATTCAAATTTACAGTAAAACATATGTTATAAATGCATGTTATGGACCACAGTGCGGAAAAGTTCATCTTACGGATGTAAGACATTTTATTTTTTAATTATGTTATGGTGAGAACAATTCTACGAAGTTCATATTGATATTCTTAATGAAGTTCTTACTATGTGCTTAATTGTTCTTATCTAGCTATATAAGTTCATAGTAAGAATGAATAAAGTACGCTAAGCCCCGCCTTTTTGGGGCCCTTTGTACTTAGTGGATTCTTATACTGCGATATAAGAACAAGTGAAGAACTTGCTATTCTTTTCTATATTCCATTAAGAACTTGATAAGAATAGCTGTGCTTCCTGGGCGATATAAGAACAAGTGAAGAACTTGCTATTCTTTTCTATATTCCATTAAGAACTTGATAAGAATAGCTATTCAGTAGGGACTTTGCCACTAACAATACATAATTTACACTGTCATATTTTTGCAAAATATTGTTTTATGATGTTTAAAAATGTACATAGTTGATTTTAAAGTTGGCAGTCTGACGGCAGATGACTTCAGGTGAAGAAATGGAAAGTCAATAATGGAATTGATTGTTATATGCATAAAAACTATAAAATTTAAATGCAAGAAATTTACTAAAAATACGTAATTATTAAGGCAAAACGTTCATTTTGGAAATATTGAAGAACTTCATTTATTTGTAAAAATGTGGTGACTACCATAAATACAATTTGAGATACGAAAAATAAACGTTTTTTATTTTTGATAATAATCAGTATGGATGAAATTCGAATAAAAAGTTCAATTTTTCGAAATTTTCTAAAATGATCTAAATCTCGATTATTATCGGTTGCGTACAGATATTTGCAATCGACCGTTATTTTCATAAGGATAATGTCACTTGAACATACATTTCGTACAAAGACAACAGGGAATTTTCTATGTTAGTGACTCAATTTTTTTTAATGCTGCTAAACCGGTAGTTAAATTCATAAAAATCGAACGTGCTTGGCTCAGAACCAATATATATTATATTGAATACGTTCATCATTTGATATGGAAAAGACGAAAAACGTTCGTTTTATACGGTTGTTTCATTGAAAATGAAAAGCGCGTTCGATTCTTATGAATTATGATACCGATGTAAACTTATACATATTATTTTAAGCACATAGCATTTGCAAAATGAATGATTTTTTTTGTATTTTATTGCAAAATATCAAATTTAAGAAAAATTCACATAGTTGACCATCATTTTAATTATGAGCTGAGAACATCAATGAAATTGAATAGTATATGCAATAAAATCTGGATATTTCTACTGAAATGATATGGCTGATAATGAATAAAATCTATGAGATTGCGACCTAAATCGACTAAATGTATGGATTGATTTTCGTATTTATGATTTCAGTATGAAAAAAACGTGTCGTTTTCGAGTTATTCTAATATACACATTGAAAAGGAAAATAACAGATACTATAAATTGATGGACATATGAATCGTTGCGGCGAAACAGTAGCTCTTATTTTTCTCCAAATAATACTGCAACATGAAGTTTTTTTCACACGGTTTATTTGTTGTAATACAACAAATAAACTATTCATAAAAAACTTTATAATACAGTATTATTTGGAGAAAAATAAGAGCTACTCTTTCGCCTCAACGATTCATATACCATATAGTCACAAAATTGCCAAATCTGAAGATGAAACTTTCCCATAAATATCCTAATATACAACAACATGCATATGCTTTATGTCAAAAATGTAATTATTTTTCTTATAGAATATCGAGACAAATTCAAATGCATATCGTGTCTTTGTGCGTATGTTTAGGTATTTATAGATGCAAAATGTTTGACAATTGGTATACATTATAAATTTTGATCACTTTTCATTTTAAACTCAATTCGCATTTCTAGGTATAAAAAAGCATTGAATTTGCTCGCATAAAATTGGAACTAATTCAAATTAAAATTAACTCTAATTTTGTCATATTGTATGATGAGATAGGGAATATTCCATTTTGGTTTGTCAACACGACTGTCCAATAAAAGCCAGTCAATATGAAAAAATTAAACAAATAATTATCGCGATAACAAATTCAATAATCAAGGGGCATTTTACACCAAATAAACTTGCATATTTGGATCGTTTATGGATTGAATTTAAGGTAATTATTGTTGGATCTGTGTTGTGTTTACATAGGATATCCGCCTCCATCCCATCCGATGTACGCTCACGACCATCGAGACTTTTGTAAGTCAATTTGTCCTTCAAGTGTTTTTGCCAAATAAATCACAAACAATTGACTTAATGCTGCACCTAGTGCAATTCCAGCAATCGTATACAGATTTCTTTCTGCCCAAACTCGAATAATTTCAATGCAACCATTTGTCCAAATTTTTTTGCTAGCCGCAGCTACTGATTCCTGTTGAACTCCGTATCCGCACATAATATTGACCTAGAAATGCGAATTGAGTTTAAAATGAAAAGTGATCAAAATTTATAATGTATACCAATCCAGATGAAATATCAGACGCATTTATGCAACAGCTGTATGGAACTCCGCCACGTTCGACACTAGGCGATGAACAATTAAAATATTCATTTTTGCCCCAATCCATATATCCCGCATTGCTCAAACCACAACATTTGAATTCTTGTTGAGCATAATCAATGAAGTTTTGCATATCCGGATCATCTCTATACTAGATTTGCGATAGAAGTAAAGTAAAAGAGAAATGTATATTATTGTCAATAATAACTATAAAAAATCTACATTTGTGGATTTCCGAAACTTAATTTTTCTACGTAATATAATTACTTACTAGATGTATCACTTTTTCGGTTAATGAATCTTCCAAAAATGTGTTCATATTGTGTGGAAAAACAAAACCAACTATTGCGACAGCCATCTCCATCAGAAACACCAACAACAAACACATTGAATAAAACTTCAATAGACATGTATTTTCACGTAGTGCACCCAAACAACCAGCAAAGCTGACCACAAATACTACCAGTCCAGCAATAACCAAGACCAAAGAAATATTCAATACAACATCATATATCGTATCCAACTTAAATAATGAAAAAAAATCGATATTCAATCAGTTCTTCAATGGAACTTTAATGAAAAAGTCATTTTACCTTAACCCATCCGGTTGCCTGATATTTCTCATAAACTGCATAAAAGCCTATTGAAATCATCAGACCTCCAAATAGCCAAAATATGAAATTCAATAAGAAAATCATATATTTGACACAGGAACTTATCTGTATCGTTCCAAAACGAAGAAAATACATGAGTGGTTAGTACATAAAAATTGTCACATCCAATGGCAATAAATATGGGTTTTTTTCTCTTACATATGTAAAATTTGGTGAAATTCGTCGATGCATAACTGCGTAACGAAGCAAAAAAAATTGGAAGAGAAACACACAATCTAATTACGAAAACATTCGTACTTCCTGTCCTATTTTTCACACGATTTTTGTGTTCACTATGCAAAAACTAAAATTCCAAAACTTTTTTTTTAATCCCAAGAGCTGTTGTTTTTTATTTGTGAAAATTGGACAAGAGAAAATGAAATGTTAATGTCTTTGAAGAAGAAGTGCAACCAATGCAACCAATTCTATTTTATTCTGATGTGTCAACAAACAACAATCGTCAGTGTTTTGGTGTATCTTTCTATGTGTTAGTATCACTGAACGAACACGCGTGATTATAAATCACGTTTCATTTCACGAATCTCTTTTCTGCTTCTATTGCCACCATGTTCAAAATTCGAAAGTATGATTATTTTCATTTTTCATCTAACATAAGATATTTGCAAGGATTTCTTTCGAAATTATTGGTTTATTTCTACAATCAAATGAAGAGATATGTTTTCAGTGAACACTTTTCCAAACACAAAAAAAAGATTATTTAGCAACAGTTTCATTTGAAATTGACCGTTACTAGCGACCTCTTACAATACTTTTGTTTTGAGATTTACTGTCAAACGTGACGTCTCTATGAATTAAAGTGAAAACAACAACGACAACAAAAGTATTAGTGAAGCAGACGGCTTTCAAAAAAAAAAGATTTCCTGGTAGTTTTATTATATGGGAATGAATTCAAATTATTTATCACTTGGATTGATGTTTTATTTGAAGTTTTGAGCTAAATATAAAAATATACATAAATTTAGTGCGTTCAAACAACAACAACTTTCAGCTACACACAATCGAACTAGGAGAATATGTTTAGTAAGTGTTCAAAATATGTAAATAAAAAACAGATAATTGTAGTTTGGATAAAAATCAAGCGCTATTTTTATATGCACTTGGGATTATTAACTTCATTTACACTCTCATTTTTATAAGACTTGTAAAGGAACTGTATTGATTCAAATTTGTTTGTATCTCTCTCTCTCTCTCTCTCTTCCTGGTTTCTCTAACTTTTAGAATTATAAATAATTTGTATATATGGATTTAAGCGGAACGTTGTAATTTACATAAATAAAACACCGATACACACATGCACTTGAAAAAAAGCTTATATAGAAGACGAAATCTATTCAGTTTTTGATCACTTTCCAATTTTGTGTACAATATTCACTATACCAATCAAAAAAATGTCTAAAGGCAAAGGAAAAAGTAAGTGACCTTCCAATAATATAATTTGACATGCACTATTGTCAAATTCTGGATATTTACTATTCAAATTAAAGATTTTATCATAAGAATCAATTAATTGAAAGTAGAAAACAATTTTTTTGAATCGCTTTCAGTGCATTCGGAGACGGAGGAACAGCAACGAATAAGATTTCAAGTGGAATTAGAGTTCATTCAATGTTTAGCAAATCCAAACTATTTGCATTGTAAGTACATAGTTTCCTCTACAAATTGATAAACGGGGAAAAATCTTGAATATAAAAATCTACGTTTTTTTATTTACTTTTCAAACAGTTATTGCACAGAGAGGATATTTTAAAGATCAAACATTCATAAATTACTTGAAATATTTAACATATTGGAAAGAACCAGAATATGCTCGCTATATCAAATATCCAATGTGTTTGTACTTCCTCGATTTATTGCAGTATGAGCACTTTAGACGTGAAATTGTCAATTCACAATGTGTGAAATTCATTGATGATCAGGCGATTTTATTGTGGCAACATTATACGCGAAGACGAATGAAATTGCTTGCTGCCGCTCAACAAAATCAACAGAATCATCAAAATGGACAAACTCAAAACATTTCAAATGGTCATCAACAGCAAAATGGAAACTCCAGTCCACAACAAAATGGGGGTGAACCGTGTTAATAAGCATAACTCATAAAGCATATAGATATTTCTTCCAATTTGTTTGCATATTTTTCCGTTTTTATAGTAAAAAAAATGTATAATTTTGAAACAATAGATACATATATCAAATAAATAAGATACATTCAATTGTCATTGAATTGATTTTTTCCGTGACCTTTGATTTTCTACTTGAAAAAGTGGAAAACGAATACGCTATTGTACATTAGAACCATTGGCACTATCAACACAACACATTTTTAGTTTATTGATCGAAAATCGCTTTCAAGGCATACATTATTAATTTGTGAGAATGTTTGCAGTTTAAAGAGTATGTTACGTGTCGCGCAGTAGTTTAATTTTGAATTCCAACGAGATAAGTAGAGTCGAATAAAAATATATTTAAATTTTCTTGATGGAAGATGCAGGAAAGGCAAATTCAACTGATCACATTGAATGAAATGACACCAAATGTTAATAGGAAGCCTGGCATCGAATCTAAATCAGTGAATTTGGTAACAACTAGAACAAAAACACCACCAGAAATTGAAGAAAAGTCCGTTGATTTGATATCAGTGACCAGTGAAGATTATAAAGATGATGACCAAATGTAAGAGTGAGATATTGTCCCAATTATGGTTATTTGAATCCCGTTATAATGAAATATAATTTCGCAGTTCGTTTGACGAAAATCGCCTGCAACAATGGAATACATCCGAATTCTATATGCAATTATGGGGTGCAGCAGCTGGAATAATTTTGCTTTTCAGCTGTGGTACACTCTCCGCATGGGCTGTTACAGATTTCGTTAAGGACGTTCAAGTTCACAAAGGTAAATTGAAAACAAATAATTTAAGACTAAAAAATTCAAATTCGTTTGTCTTTTTGTGTAAAATGAAGCTGCATGGATTGATATCGACTACAGTTTTGAGTTATTTGACGATGAAGAACGTGAATTTCTTAGTTCACGTCATGTTATTATAGCTATGGTTGTGTTGAGCTTTAATATCGGATGTATTATAGGTGGTATATTTGGAGCTTTCATCACACCAATCCTACCGAACCGTGCGATTTACGTATGTGAAAGTTATAAATTTTCTATTGTGGAAAATCTTTGTTCAATATTATGATAAATTTTTCAGACGCTCGGATCCGTTTGTATGTTATTTACCGGAATAACTTTAACAAAACACACTTCACCGTTCTATTGTGCAAAATCACGTTTGGTTGCTGGATTAATTTACGGGCTAATTCAATTAACAATAATTGTTCAAGCAGCTGAAACCACAACGAAGAAATGCCGGAGATGGATTTTAATCGTGGTGGCATACCTCAGTGCAACATCTAATTTAATTTCGACAATAATATTTTATTATTATGATGATCGTGTAGAGATTACATATAGCGAACAAAATCCTGCTCTTTATATTGTTTCATATGTTTTGATTGGCTGCTCTGTGATTGCTTTAATTGTGAATTTCATTTGTACAACTGATACGGTCCCATTTTATTTGAATCGTGGTGAGGATACGAAAGCATTCAAAGAACTTACTCGTTTGAAAGTGAATCATTTGTCAATGCTCGATATTCGATACGAATACGAACGTATTCGATTTGATGTTGCACAATGCCAATTGGATATCAATCGAAATTTGGCTGCTAAAAATAATCACGTTCCTTTACTCTCAATGTGTTGTGTGCGTATTTTAAATCTGCTGTTCACATCGGTACCGATGACCTTGGTGTTAATATGGGATCCCAGCAGTACCGAAGAAAGTGATGAAAATAACTTCGAATACATCACTTCTTTGAATTCGACTATTAGTCCATCGATCGATGAAAATGAAAATAAATACATATCTCCATTAGTAACGTTAGCAGTGTTACAAGCATTTCGTTTACTTTGCAGCATTGGGGTTATATGGAGGCAAGATAAATATCATTTCAATCGATTTAGCTATAAAATGGCTGGATTTACTGGTATTTTTTTGATTATTTGGTTTGTTGCACGTGTAGTTCTTGGTTCGATCGAAACAATTCAAAATGTATTATTTTTTCCGGTATCAATCGTAATAATGATGGGGTTCATCGGTCTCCCTCTCCCTTTGGACGTTATACAGCTATCTCAATCAGCAGACTCATATGCTCGCATTAAAAATAGTTGGGCGTTGGCTTGTGCAATCTTTATTGAAAACATTGTCCATATATTTTTGGTCGTTCAGTTGGATATGATTTTTGGCGTAATGTTTGTGTTTTTGGTAAATGGTGTAACGATGATTTTTTTCTCTTACTGGCTGCTAAAAAATATGCCAAATGTTGTTGCAATACATCCTATCACTGTCGCATTTGTAGCTCGTTACCCTTTTAAAAATGCATCGAATGACCAAACGCATACAATTTATATTTAATTGTTTGTTTATTTTTTTCTGAAAGCTGCACAGCCCTTTTTTTAAATAAAATTCTATTATATTTCTTTAAAGTATAACAATCAAAATAGTGGCTAATTTCGTTTCTGGCAGTAATTTTAAAAAATAGTGCCCTAATATTATTTCTTTCGAAAGGAATTATTAAAATTATAAGACTGGTCTATTTAATAAATTTTTGTACCCATTTGAACGATTGATTTGGGTTGGATAATAACTATACCTACCTTTAATTTATATAACACTTTTAATAAAGAATTGAAATTGACAATTGAAAAGAAAGAAAGAAATGAAATCGTAAAATTGTTTCCTTATCAGTGATCACTATCGTCGTTTTATTCTCACACGCGGAAGGAAGACACGTTTTCACACTTTAAGGAAGCGTGTGCACTCACGCTATAGCCATAGACATAAATATCGGAAGAAATTGTGCCTAGTTCTTTTGTTAATTTTAATCTCACTGACTTGTGAAGAAAAATGAAGCTTTTGTTTTGTTATATCATTCGACTATTACGTACGTATCTAAAACAATTGAGAAATTAATAACACAATTAAAATAAAAAATGTATTGTAGTTTTAACAGAAAATCGAAAAGAAAAAAGGAAAGAAAATATTAGATTAGTATGTTTCCTTGATTTTCATTAATTGCTGACGAAGCTGTTGATATTGTGTTCTTTTTCTAATTAATTAATGTATATGCGTTTTATGATGCTGATTTTACTAATTGCTAAGCACGCAATGTATTTTTCTAAATCTGTGTAATGTACACTCTTGAATATTGCAACGAATCAAAGGTTTGAGTTCAGCGGTAGAATCTTTCGATTTTCTTCAATCAAAAGTAGTGATACGTCATTCAACGAGTTTTTTGTTTATACTTTTCACTTCTCTATATACAGAGAAATACAATTTATCCAAGCATTCTGCTATTATGAATCGCTGTTGGCCGTTCGCGTTGCGTGCATACGCGCGATACATACACAAACAAAAGCTGGTCCCATTGTTTTCTCTATTCTCTTTCATACCTTTCATACGGTATGAAATTGGCACGAAAAAAATTCAAACCATCGAGAGCTCAACTGTATTCAAAAAAATACAATGACTGAAATTTCAGTCTTAGCTGAACCTTTGAAGGTATCGGTCGTGTTTTTATTTGTGCGCTCAAACTTTTATTCGTTGTGAATATGAAGTATAAGTTATTTTTTTATGACTGAATTCGAATAATTTTGACGTGTTTCCCAAACTATAAATTTTTTGGTTAGTGAATTTGGAATTATGTTTATTAACTCAAGTCTGTTGAAAGAAAAGATGCAAATCCAACATAAATACAAACTATAAACTAACATAAAATACGGTTTTACACAAAAAGACCTAGTTTAAAATTCTCACAGACATTGTTTTCAGTGAAAATAAGCAATAAAAAAACACTCAAAGAGAAAAAATTGTACATTAACGTCTAGCAATCCAATAATAACTTGCGAGAAAAGTAGTGTGTTCTCTCAAAGGAGAGAAATGCGACACGAATTATTAAACCGACGTCCCCGAAAGTTGAACTGATCTTAATTGTAACATACTCACATGATAAAAGTCAACAATTGGTAAATTTATGGAACTCTATGTCTGACAGAAAGAAGAATCTAATAACTATAATCACAACATTTCTTACTTCTAAATCTTCGTCCAATTGAAACCTCTGAAAAGTAAAAGCCTTGGTTCACGCAGTTGTGATACGAGCGCGCGATTTGAAATTCAGTCTTCATCATTTGCAGTGTATGTATGTGTTAATGCAAAGAAAATAACAACAATTGACGAATGACACACTTTTTTCCACGATCGTTTGTTTCGTCTCACTTTTACATTTTATGCACACCAGTGATTTCTTTCGGTCGGCATTTTTTTCCTTAAAAAGACAATTTCTTTTAGCTAAACTAAAAATTTTGTGCGATTCGCATATCAATTGAAATCAAAGAAAGAAGTAGAAGAAAGTGACCCAATGAGTAGCATCGACAAACAAAAGTGAATACACTCAAAAATTGAATAGTTTGGTTTAAATTGGTTTTGATCATTCGTTTCGGCCACTGTACCAAATCATAGTTGCCAATCGAAATCGATTAATAAAACGATTTTAATAGTCCAAAATATTAATTTTGTAGACTTTTTTCTTTAAATAAAGGTAAGTTTCTTTTAAGATTATTAAAAAACTTCTCTAAAAATTTAAAAAAATAATATGTAGGCTACATAGTGTAGCTTAATGTTTTTTGCTCACTGTAATGCTATTAAACTATACTGAAATAAAATGCAAAATATTAATCGATAGGCTTGTAGCAGTTGGTGAAAGCGTGTCTCATGATTACGGATGGCTAATTCGGAATGGTGCTTTAATTTTTAAGGCCAATATTTGTTCTTTCACTGTATAGGCTATATTATTCATTTCCGCATAAGTGCATTGTGGTCAACAATCAGAACAATCGCATGGTGAATGTTCCGCACTCAATGGTGAAAAGTGACGAGAAACACTAAAACAAACCGGTTCTTGCTGCATCCAATCTCAATCAGCTTGAGGTGTGCAGCTATTTTTTTTGTGTTTGTTGAATCGAAAGTATCGATGTTAAAGTAGATCAGAATAAATGGGCCTTGAATTTTATGCACTAAAATTAACACAACACGATCATTCACTGTTTTGTATTAATTCTTTTGATACCATACATAATAGCCGACCGGAATTTCGTTAACTTAAATTCATTGAAATTCGTCATTCGAACTAACTTGAATCGAATGCCTCATTTTGGATGAGTCACTCCATTGGTCATTGTTGTTCTATTAAATGTAAATTCTTAATCGAAGTATAATACATTTGTGTTCCATAAAAAATGAACAAACGTCAAACCAATTCTTGCAATACACGAAATCAAAAATTTACTCTTTGCAAAACTTCACTCCATCCACAACATAGAAATAGTTGTTGATTATACTGCCACGAGAAACAGGTTTTATTTCTAACAAAATAGTCGTGATTATCAGGTTTTTGAACTAGAGTGTCTGCTGTTTTTTTCATTTCGTTCATCTTAACACAAAACTGACAACTTTTCCCAAACAGTTTCCGACATTAGCTAATTTACGTTCACTTCATTTACTGCAGTAAAATGAAAAAGTATGCCCGAAGTATACTAGAAAAATTAACTCATATTTCGATAATTTAATGAAAAAAACCTTAAAGCTGAAAATCGTAAACATCTGATTTCTCATAAAATGATTTTCCAAGAAAATAAATTTGATTTAAATTAAATAAATCCGATTGAATATCAACTTCTACTACAATCTAAGAAGTCTCTCATTTTAAACAAATATTACCCATAGCTAATCGGAAGAAAAAATTGCACCATGAAATTACATTTTTATTAAACAAAAAATAGCAAAACTATGAAAATGTATGAAAACATCCATCGTAATAGTGAACATTTTTTCAAGTATTCAAAATGTTCATTTTATATTGGTGCTGCGAAACATAAAAACGATTTCCGAAATTTGCATTTTACCAGAGGAATTGATGAATGGTTGGTTGTTTACAAAGTTGCATCTGCAATCAGTCACGAAATATGCATTTTTTCTTCTAGGAAATGGTGAAACATTTCACAATTTTAGTTCAAACGATTTTATTATCTAATCAATGCACCGAACTCGGTCATAACATGTCAGTGTATTCGCAAAACACATTTCAATGAGGTTTTGTTTGATTTATACGTTATCGACCTGTTACATCGCGTATTGTGCATTCGGTTGCATTTTAAGAAAACAATGGAAAAAGCAAATGCGATCGTTCGCTTCAAAAATATATGCTTTTGAATTCAAATTGTTATTTAATAAAATATAAGCATGCGCTTTTAAAGTGTTTATATATTTTTTCAAACAATGTATACTACTAGCAAACACTAATATTCGTGAATTATCACCTGCTAGAATTTTTTTTTAGGAGAAGAGCCTAAACAATAAATCTGAGGTCCTTGGTCTTCGAATACATAAAAAAATCAAATATCAACCGATTCGTGATGCGAAATCATTGATCATTTTTTTATCATATATAAAAAGAACATTCAGACCTGTTCGTCATTAGCCCTTCTCAGTGGGAGCATTTTTTAATTGCGCCGTATAGTTGATACGCGGAAACTATTGTACGTCTAATTGCGTATTTTTTCATTTGTTAAAGTATGAAAAGAATTCTCAATTACCAAAAAAATATCACTTACTATTAAAAGAGAATCTCACAAAAGAATTCAATTTGATCGAAACATATTTTAACTTTGATCATACAAACTGAAATCAATTAATAGTTCTTTGTTGGTAAAAGAACATTTATCATTTTTCCTTTTTTTCAAAAGAGTAGCAGAAAATTTCGATATAATAGATCCAAAGTCATTCAAAGTCAGTCGGCTTTTGTGAATTAAGAACTCCTAATGTTATGATTTCTATATCTGTTAATGATAATCAATTGGGTACTTCAAAAATAAAATAAATATATCTTAAGAACACTTTAGCTATAGCAAGACTATAGTCATGTTGTTCTCTCTTCGTATGCGTTAATTTCTTACTCAAATCCATCATTAGTTATTCTATGTATTCAAAATCACAGGAAGAAACACGTTGTTAAAAAATATTTAGTATGATTGACGTTTGATAGCAAATTGTTTGCTTTTATTTCGAATACAACGAGAATAGATTAAACCGTGAATAAAATAAAGATACTTTTGTGTTCATCGCTAATGTCATTGATCTTCGAAGATTTATTAATTTTATTTGTAAGATGAGTAGAAATTACTGATCGTCAACTTGAGTTGCTAAAAGTTTTTCGTGGTCAATAACCGACTTTAGATTCTAAAGAATAGTTTCAAATCAGTATAAATATATCACTAAAAAGTGGATTTTTTTGTAGACTGACGATTACATATATGTTACACTTATTTCGCTTCAGCATTACTGATGACAGAATCGAACTGGTAAAGAAACAACATTTAAACAACATTTTATCTTAAACAACAATTAAAGATAATAATCGAGCTATTAAACGAATGTTTGTGTACAATTTGCTTGTTCCATCAACATTAAAAAATGTATGTGCCTTTTGAAATTCAATAAGTTGAATAAGAGCAACACTCAATTACTGCAGTGCGATTTGGCAACACGAACAATTTAACATAATCTCCATAGAAAAAAAAAACGCGAACGTATCTATTTAGTTTATGAAAAACGACTGTTTTGTGTCATTAAATCAAATGGTTTTTGTAAGCAGAGTTAATGTAAAGTAATGAATGCAATGAAATGAGAGAGTTTTTTGTGCGTATTTTTTGCCTAGTGTCGGCTACGTCGGACCAAAATCTGTTTAAGCGAGTAGTCAGAAAACCGTCAATCTAACACTGAATACATTATTTTGAGTATTAACGTGTATGTTTGTGTGTGCTAAGCATTGAAATGAAAAAGTATACATTCGATGAAGAAAAATGAAACAATTGAATCTTACGTTTTTGTGACCTTGTGCACAATTCGTAAATAAGTTTTAATCAAAGCAAGTGTTGGTGCGTGGCAAACAATGGTCAGTACATTTAAGATTTATTTAAAACAAAAGAAAGAGCCAAAATACGGTCAATATATAAATGCTTCTACTAGTTTGTTGTTTGATGCATATCGTGAAATAAACGCCTTATTTTTTTATTCGTAAGAAACATGCGATATCATTCGTGCATTGGAAGAAGAAAATTTCATAGCATAAGTGGTTTTATGCAGCATATCTTTGGTTATTCGATGAGCAATAATTATATTTAGATGATTTAAATTGAATTATGCAAAAAACTTACAAATATATAGACAATGCGTTCAAATTATATCATTAAAATAGTGTCCTCATGTCCTTATGACTTTTTCCACCATCCAAACAAATCCTTAGTTTTACCCATAAAAAGACACAAATGTAAATGAGTATTACTGAGTATTTAAGCGTGAACCAAACAAAAGTAGGAAAAACACCAAAACCTGGAAACCGTGAACAACGACGATTGGGTGAAGACAAAACCAAAGCGAAAACACAATAGTTCTGCACTGCAATTACATAATACTCTGAATTTTCATGGAATAATTACCAAACCGTATTTGGTACTAGTTCCCGTTCGACGATAATGTTAGTTGATGGAAAATGGCTTTTGTAAATAAGTGTGAGAACGTGTTCAATTGTGTTTCATGAGAAAATCTATAAATTTTGGTATAAATCTATGTCAACAAATCATTCTCAATTGCAGCAATTCAACAGTGACCAAAATGGCGACACCATTTTGTTTTCCAACCAAACTGCAAGACACGACAATATTTACAAAATCTCCGTCATTACAACCGGACTTTTTCATGGAATATTGTGTATATTTCGTATAATTATTGATTTGTTCATCTATTCGATCTTGGATCTGTAGTCAATTGAAATAAAGAGGCTTACGTTCGCAAGCTGACTTTTCCGCATGGAACCGAAATTTTGGGCATAAACTGAAATTATGGTCTATGTTTGGTTGCAGTAAATTAAATCTCCGTGAAAACTTGTGAATATTATTTTCTTATCAAAATAAATAATCACACTAAGTCTAAAGAAATTTCAATCAAAAATCGATTTTTGGCTCATAAACGAAAATGTTGTATGGGAGGTATCCCCAATTTGCATTGAAATTTCTTCAAACCTTCAGAAAGTTATTTTTTTGTGGAAAAAATAGCCTGTGCAAAGTTTCATTATTATTACATTATTACGCTACCATAAAGGCATAGCTCCCATTCAAAAATCAATTTTTTGAGGATTTTTGTATGAAAAGTCTGAGAAAGATTGATTGCGTCTCAAATTGAAAGAATATCATTTTGAGGTATTTTTCTCATAACTGCCTCTTCATAGTTCAAGTTTTACACCGATCAACCAATGTCGTTGAAAATTTGATCAGGTCTATTCCTCATAGTCTCAAATCATCTCGTAAAGTCAGATTTTGAATTTCATGTCTGAGCACGAAACCATCGTGTCACCAAAATGGTTAAAAAAAATGATCGAAAAATTGCCTGAAATCGTGTTGAGGTGAATTTAATTTTTTGGCCCAATACAATACCTTTCAAGATACCTTTCTTGATACCTTTCCTACACTAGGTGTACGGAAAAAT